GGACTACTGTCCTTAGAAGAAGAGACACAAGAGTTCTCTCTCCCCCATATGAGGATGAGGCAGGGACTGGAGTGATAAGCCCACAGACGTCAAGGACTGGCATCAAAGTAGGAAGAGGCAGAGAAAGTTTCTTCCCTAGAGCCTTCAGTGGGAGCACAGCCCTGCTAACACCTTGATTTCAGGCTCTAGACTCCAGAATCATAAGACTATAGATTTCTGTTGTTTAAAGCCCAATCTATGGTAATTTGTTATGGCAACCCTAGGAAATTAAGACAGATTTTGGTACCAAGAAGTGGGGTGCTGCTCTAACAAATATCTAAGAATGTAGAAACAGTTCTGGAACTGGCTAGAGGCTAGAAGCATTTTGAGGTGCATGCTAGAAAAAGCCAAGAATGCCATGAAGGGACTGTTAAAGGAGACTCTGGTAAGAGCGCAGAAAGAAAAGAGGAGAGCTGGAGAGATGGCTTCTCAGAGAATCCATAAACGATCATGACCAGACTATCGACGACAAAGGCCTTCTGGTGACTCTCAGAAATGAGAAACATGTTATTGGACAATGGAGAAAAAGTGACTTATAAAGTAGCAAAGAACTGGCTGAACAGTGTTTTGTGGAAGGTAGAATTTAGAACCAATGAAACTGGATGTTGAGCTGAGGAGATTTCTAAAGAAAGTATTGCAGGATTGGCTTGGTTTCCCCCATCTCTTTATAGTAAAATGAGAAAGAGATGAATTGAAGTAATAACTGTTAAGCAAAAAGGAACCAGAACTTGATGATCTTGAAAGTTCTCTGCCTATCCATATTGCAAAAAACATTGTTCTGAAAAGAACAGTAAGGGTGTGGTCACACAACCATTTGGTAAAGAAATGAGTATATGTGTGAAGCATGGACCGTCCCCCCTCAACCCCCCCGCCCAGCAGAAACACGGCCAGTGTGAACTGGAGGAGACAGGTTGACAGAAAGGAAGGCTGTCAGACCTCTTAGGCCCTACAGGACTGGAAACACAGGGCTACTGCCTGTGAACATGTGTTCTTCTTGAAGACAAAGGAAGAATGACCCCAAAGATTCAGAGGTCATCAGGGCTGCCTCCTTGGTTTCAAAGTTGGGGGAGGCATCACCTGGGCTTCAACAGGGGAGGTGGACTCTGCCTAAAGACTTGGGGGCAGGGCCTGGTGGAGCCTGGGTGGGTGATTCCCTCCCGGCAGAGCCATAAAGGTGAGACTGCCACCCCAGCACGTCCAGAAGGCAAAGCATCACATCAAAAAGGATTATTCTAGAGCCTTAAAACCTAACGGCATTTGTCTTGTCAGGTTTCGGATTTGCTTGGAACCCTTCATCCTTTTCTTCCGTCTAATTTTCCCAGTTTTCTCATTCCTTTCGGAATGAAAAACTTTATCCTACGCCTGTCCCCTCATGGTATCTTGGAAGCCTATAACTTATCTAACAGCTTCACAGCTGGAGGGGAATTTCGCTTCACGATGAGTCCTATCTGGAGTCTCACCCACATATTATTTAGCTGAGACTTTGGGCTTCAGACTTGAGAGTTGATACTACAACAAGACAAGGCTTTTGCAGTTGTTGGGATGCAATAAATGTATTTGGCATGCCAGGAGGACATGAATTTTGTGGGAGGGCCAGGGGCAGAATGTTATGGATTGTTTGCCCCCCCCCCCAGTTCATATGTTGAAGCCCTAACTCCCAATGTGATCATATTTGGAGGTGGGGCCTTTGGGAGGTAATCAGGTTTAGATGAGATAATGAAAGTAGAGTCCCCAATATGAGATGTGTCCTTATAAGGAAAGGAGCCTTGGGTAAGAAATGAAGCACAGAAGAGGAATACTATTTAACAGGCCCCTCCAATTTCAGTCACAGGGAGAGAACTGTGCCGGCTCCTCTCCTCTGCATATTCACGGACAATTCAATTCAGGCTAATCACAGTGGAGAAATTTATATGTGCTTTAGAACCACTGTTCCAAGGAGGTATAAGTGCCATTCTGGCAGAGAGACAGTGGTTAAATGACTGGAAAAATTCCAAGGATTAATAAAGATGCCACAGATGGGACTGCTACGTTGGTGGGAGGTGGGACTAGATGAAGTCCAAGGTCCGTCCACGCAAGAGAACGGGGGACAGTTACTCCTCTCCCACACTGGTTCTTCTTGAGTGTCTATCACACAGTGGGAACAGGTCTGATGCAGATATGCTTTTGAATAGGAATGTGTCCTTCAGAGTTCAGAAAATCCTACCATTTCCCTGAATGCTCCTATGGCTACCTTTTCATGGGGGTAAAGTGGGTCAGGGCAGCTATGGTTCCTTCCTGCTACTCAGCTTCTTGTGGCTGTCAGGCTTCAAGAGGAAGGCCAGCATTGTTGACTACAGCCAGCTGACTTTCTTGACCATATGGGTGTTAAGACATTTACAGAAATCAGGCATGAACCTAAGTACCAAGAGAGATGTTTTGAGGTCCCTGCAGGCTCCAGCTTGTTTCATTCTGCTAGATGAGTTCTGCTAGATGAGCTCCAGCTTGTTTCATTCTGCTAGATGAGCTTAACCTGGTGCCTCAGTTTTCTCCTCTGTAAAATAGGGAGAACACCCTCTGGTCTACCATCCTCACAGGGTTTGAGAAAGAAAACCGAACTACTGACTGAGCTAAACCTATGTTCTAAAAACATGTATTATCCTAATTACTGATAGGGAAATTTCATACAAGCTCTGTAAAGCAATCTAAGGGAGATCCTTTCTGGATTCTTAAAAGTACTGCTATGAGTTCAACACAGAGAAGCTTTTATTTAGAGCATAAACTGGATTCCCGCTTGTAAAGAAAAGCATGAGATAAAATTCTTTGTCTTAATTTGACAGCGGAGAGGCTCTTGAGTATTGGCCAACAATCTAATACGGGATCGCACCAAAACACAACCATTTGCTTCCTGAGTCATATCCATAAAGATCTGGTGGTAAAGTGCATTTACGGAGATCGCAAAGCTTCATGTTCAGGCTCTTAAAGAAAATACCTATCTCTGTCTTTTCTATTTAACATACCCTCGGCTCTCCATTTGGGATAAAAGTTGAAGTCCTGCTCCTATTGCAATTTCTCAGGTAAGAGTCACATTTCTGGGCTTTTAAGATCAATGTTCAAGCTGCCCAGCTCAGTGACCAGAAGGCATGATTCACCCCCTCTCTTGTCTGCTGTCCTAATGTTAATACACGCTGAAGCTTCTACTGTATTTCAAGAAATGGGAAAACTTATAGAATCACATGTACTGGCTTAAGAAAAATGACATTAATCTTGAATATTAATTCAATATTAAGCTAACTTGATATAAATCCATTATCACTGATTTTTATCCTAGAAATTACAAATGTAAAGAAAAATAAACTACTAATGATATTAGCAGACTTTTCACTGTATTTAAAAACAACTTGTTTAAAGAAAAGTGTTACTTAACTGGTTTTACATCAGCACACTTAACACTTCTTATGAGGTTTTTTTTTTAAGCTCAGGAAAATTAAATTCTCTCAAATACTGTTTTATCAATATTTTTAAAAACAACACCGAAAACTTAAGTTGCAAACTTCCTTAGGTCCTTCAACATGCTGCACAGCCCCACAGTTTTCTTTATCCAGATTTAAGTAAAAAATCCTGTAAGACATAGTTCAGATGAAAGGAATTTTAAAGAATGTACTGCAGCTTTCAAAAAGCCTCCTTAATTACTAAATGCTGTGAAACAGAGTTGTAAATTGATAAGAGGACAGTCATACCCTCCCTCAAAAGTGTACAGCCCTTCTAATACTAATGACTGTGGGTTATCTATTTGATTCTTTTCCCAATCCCTTTGTCATAAGGTGAACTGTACCCGAAATTTCTGCTAGCGTTTTATGAAACAGTAATTTTTTTAGAAAGCTATTTTTTATAGGTCCTCTGAATGCTTTTTACAGGCAACCAGAACCTTGGGTTTTGCAATGATGATTCTATCCATATGACTGTTAACTTTCTTTTTTTCCTTTACTTCTCTGTCAGAACCAAGGCTTGTTAGAGTGTAGCAAGTTTCCCATCTCACAGGCCTATTTCAGTCTCCTATAAACTCATCTTAGGGCCAAACACTTATTTTTCTGGGAAAGAGCAACTCTTACAGTTTTATCCTAGCCAAGTCAAATGCATCCTACTTTTCTTCACTTACTGGGAATGAAAGTTAACGTTCAGGACTGTGAATGGATAGGCAGTGATGAGAGAAAACTGACCACCCGGAGCTCAGCCGCTGTGGTTTGTGAATGCAATAAATCAACAAGTTTTCATTTAGCAGCGACCAGGGCCCCAGCCTTTAGCTGGGACACGACTGAGAAGGCCAAGTTCTAGACCGGGGCCCAACTGTAGAGATGAACTCATCCTGAACGCTCCACCTGGAAACCAGCGTCAGCCTGTTTCGGGACCGCACAGCGCGTTTCCCCTCGATCTCTGCGGATCTTGGGTTCACAAGTCTCCTTAGCTCCCCAAGACAAAGGGTCCCACTAGCACACCGGCAAGAGGCAAGCCTCGGGGAACCCCATGCTCTCACTTCGCCTCGGCCTGAACAAGTGGCAGAGGAGGGAGCCCCATTCAGGAATCTGCCGCGGAGCCGAGAGAGCGAGAGGACGTATTATTTGCGTTTCACGATAACCTCGGAGAAGAAACCGCTAAAGGAAAGAAAAACGGGGTGGGGGTGGGGAGTGGCAGGATGAAGGTTCCAGAAGCGTCTGTTAATACCGCGGACATTTCTTAGACCAAGGGAAAAGAACCCAGGGGGCGAGAAATTGGTGTCCCAGGGGAAGTCAGCAGGCAGAAGGAATGAGCGAGGGAAGAAGAAAAGTGATTCAAATTAAAGTCCCAAGCGCTCAGGACAGCCTCGGTATTAGCTAGAGGAAGGGAGCGCCGGGGACGCACGGCGCGCCCGGCTGTGCCATGGCACTCTGGCTCCGCCGCGTAGACGGATAGAAGGACAGACGGAGAAGCGCAAGCAAAGGACTTACCTTCAGGGTTGGCGCTGATGAAGACCCGGACGCTGCGGCCGGCTGGCATCAGGTGAGAAGGCAGGGCGGTGAGGTTCCCAGAGAAAGCCGCCCGCCGGAGCGCAGAGTCCCGGGGACAGGGCAGCTTGGTGCCCGCGCCGGCCGGCCACATTGCCTTCAGGGAGGAAGAGCCGCCGACTCCTGCTTCTCGGGTTCCTGCCCGCGGCTCCGCGGAACGGCTAGGTCGATCCCCGCAGGCGGCGCGGCTCAGAGCCGCTCCGAGCCCGAGGCGACGCGGGCGAGCTCCGTGGCACACACCAACGGCCGGCGGAGAGCGGCCATACGGACCCTCGGGCCCCTCTCACCGCCGCCTCCTGCCCCTCTGGGCGTCAGCCTTCGCTTGTTGCCAGGGCTCAGCGCAGTAGCGGGCGGGAGCGGGAGGTCAGCGTGGCGGCGGCTACGGGCGCGGCGCCTCTTTGCGCCAGGAAGCCGAGCCCATGGCCATGTCCCCGCCCGCGCCCGCCGCTAGAGGAGGGGGCGGTCAACGGGGCCCGGACAGAGAGGGCAAGTGGAGCGGACCAAACTTTATCTACAAAAGGCGTCCGGAGTTTATCGCCAGCCGCCTCCCGTGGGGCACAGGAATATCCCGCGACTTAATTAAATTAAGGGCGGTTCTGTTGCGGGGGGCCTCGGGCTGCCAGGGGTCTCCCTGGCTTCTCTGAGGGCGAGCCCGGGCGCTCCTGGCTGCCTCTTCGGTGGACGACCAGAAAGAAATTAGCCCAAGATTTCTGCTACTCCTCCTCCAACTCTACTAAGGGTCAAACAAGCCCTGAACATTTTCCAAAACGCTCGCATCCCGGCGTCTGCGCGGTTTTTTTTTTTTTTTGGCCTAAGTGCTGGGAATTCCGCCTCAAAGTTAGACGCACCACGGAGCCCGGACTCCCAGGGATCGAAGCACCAAAACTCGGGACCGTCTCGTGCGTCCTGGAGGAAATATCACCGTCGCCGTATCTCTTGGCGCAGGTGGCGAGTCCTGCCGCTCCGTTCGCTCCCCACGCCCAGCAGAGCTGGGGGTTTTTATAGCGAAGCAGCGCCGCTCACGTGCTCCTCGCCGCGTGCTCACGGAACCTTTTCTAGAGCCGATCTCCGCAGCGAGCCCTCCCGAGGTCTCTAAGTCTCCAGGGGTTATTTCCTGCTCCCACCCGGGCGCATTCCCGGGCCATTCCGCCAGCCCGGAGGCTCCGGGGCCCCGCCGCACGGGAGGATGCCGGGAGCCCCGCGCGCCCTGGCGCGCGCCTGGGCTCCGCAGACCAGTGTGGACTCGGGGGAGCGCCGCCCCGCGCAACGTCCCGCAAAGTGCAGGTGGCCACGGATAGGAGCCAGGTGCGAGAGATCAGAGTTGGCGTGGAGCAGCTTTTCCAAGTTCGTGCAGAGCGTGAGTTGGCTCCACCTGACGCTGATCCAACGTGGCCAGAGCGCATGGGGGGACTGTTGCCTGGGGTCGGGGCGTGAGGTGGACAGTGCAAGGAGTCTGATCCACGTCCGGGGTGACGTGAGATATAAAGGGACCGAGCCATAAAATTGCCATCTCCGGGCCGCACTTCATTGCACCTCCAAAATTCTGCAAATCCCGGGGCACGAAGGAAGTGTGATTGTGCTGTGGGGTGGCGGAAGTGAGCAGGGCGTGCTTAGAGCCTTAACTGGACTTTGGTCTCCAAACCCCTTATGTTGAGCTTTAGGGCAGGAACTCCTGGCTTTTAGAGAGGAAGAATAGCTTTTCCAAATCTTTGAGATTGGGGAGGGACGGCTGGGCACAGGGTGAAGGTAGCTCAACTGCTGGTTTTAGCCTCTCACCTGGGGCTTCTGCTGTAGGCAGCTCCTGGCCTCCTCCTGGCCTGCACTTCTTCTGGGCCCAGCTGGTGGCAGTGAAGTCCTACGCACTGCTGTTTATTTTGTCACCCCGCCGCATCACCAGCACACACTTTCTGGGGTAACCTTTTCGGAGAATTGGGTCTCTGGGTTTTTAAGGCTGCCTCTTCAGTGCTGAGAACCAGGGGGGCACACAGCAGTCCTTACTTTGTAATAATTTGTTGCAACCAATAAAGAAAACCTTGAACGTGCCCATGTATTAGTTCAACTGATCCCACTTAGCAAATTATCTCCTTCCTCTCTCCAACCTCATTACTCCCAGGTGGGAACTTTCTTCAGCAGTAAGGACAACTCTCTGAAAGCTCTCCTGATGTCCCAGGAGGTTCGGACTGGGCTCTCTGGAAGAGGTTATGAATATACAGTGTCTATTACAGTATCATCCTTTATGAATATACAGTATCTGTTACTGGAGAAAGGAGAGCCAGGACCACTTTATGCCTGATCTCAGTGTTGTTTATGAGACTGCTGAGGAGTTGCCAGATTGTCAAGGGCTCGCCGGCCTTCCTCCTTCTCATCCACCGCCCCGCCCCCCCCACCCCGCCTCCTTATCTGGTGGTTTCTCTCTTAAAAATCAAACTAGTGGGGCTTCCCTGGTGGCGCAGTGGTTGTGAGTCCGCCCGCCGATGCGGGGGACGTGGGTTCGTTCCCCGGTCCGGGAAGATCCCACATGCCGCGGAGCGGCTGGGCCCGTGAGCCATAGCCCCTGAGCCTGCGCGTCCGGAGCCTGTGCTCTGCAAGGGGAGAGGCCACAGCAGTGAGAGGCCCGCGTACCGAAAAAAAAAAAAAAAAAATCAAACTAGTGTTTGTGTCTTCTGACCTTTGTTTCAGATCTCAAAGTGTTTCACTTTCTTAGGATGACTTTGGGATTTTGGGCAGCCTCTATAACCTAATTAAGTGTTCTCGACAGGCCGAAGTTTAGCATCTGCCAGTGTCACTGCAGACCAAGGATGCAGAGGAGAGAGAATTGCACGGTATCTGTGGGACCAAGCTTCCAAAGGCTCCCAGCACAGCCAGCTTTGCGTCAGGTTGAGCTGGCTGCTGCCTTTGGGTTATCAGGGCGGTTTCTACCTAAGGATACCCAACCTCCCCCTGCCCGCCCCCAAACGCACGCTTCTACCTTCTTCCATTCTGTCTCTTGTTAACATTGGATAGCCTAAAAACAGAGATTCATTCATTAGCATGCAGATGGCATAAGGGAAGAGTCACTCATGGTGCAAACATTTTGTTATGAATTAACTAGATCTGTTTCCCACCCTGAGGAACTGTAGGCTGTACAAGTGGAGGGTGGGGAGGGAGAGAAACTGGAAAGGGAAGGGAAAGAGTGGGCATGAATGTGGAAGGCAGGCCCCGACTTACAGTATGGAGACAGCTCTGTTTTTATCTGTTTAAAACACTTTACAAACATGTTATTATTACTCCCATTTTACACACACAAAAAAACAAGGCTCAAAAAAGAGAAATGACTTACCCAAAGTCATATAACTAGTTAATGCTTGAGCCGGGATCCAGGTACTGGGGCCCCTGTCTCAGTAGTCTTTCTAACACAACACCTTTGTTTTCTAATTTTGCCCAGGTCTGACCCTGGCTGGCATCTTTAGTAACCCGAAAAATAGGTGTTCAGGCCTGTGTTCACAGGTGTGGAAGGCTGGTTATCACAGACCAAATAGGAAAGAAGTTCTGCCACAAGATCACACAAGACTAGACTCTTCCAACTTGTAGGGTGTTGATCTGATGACAAAGACTTCCAAATTCCTTGTTTTCCTTGGGTCCTGTCTTTTCCTCATAAGACCACAGGTAAACCCATACCATCCCTGAAGTTGGCTGGAGCATCTAGAAAAGCACCTAGAAATAGAAATAGGAAAATAAATGTACATGAAAAATGGGCTTGGGACCAAGCTTGTGATCAGGAACAGGTATTCCCCTCTCCATCCTCTCACTCACCCCACTTTGCAGGCCAGAGGACCACAAAGAGGTTACTACCTTTATAAACAGTGATGCCAGCCCTTGATAAAACAGGGCTGCTCAAAGGTTAAATTACTGCCAGGTTCATTCTACTCGTAAAGCTAGAAGGATTCCTTGCAGTCAAGGAATCCAACTCCCCTTAGTATATAGATAGCGCCCCTCCCACAAAGTAATTTTATAAAACAGGAGGAAAGAAAACTAATGTCTAATAATATTGATATGTTAAGCGTCTGTAAGCTAGACACTGTATAAAGCTTTTAATAGGTTTCTCATTTAATCCCACTGTATCTGGGATCTGGGCCAAATACCTCTCATCTTCCCACTTGATGCCCCTTCTTGGACACCGTTGTCCCTTGTATACCTCTTGTGTTGTATGTGCAGCTTGCTTGTTCCAAAGTCCATGGTATGCAAAGGTACCTCACCTACTTCCCTTTCCTGTGAAAGCTGGTGATTTTTCACCCAGCTGCATGGCTGTATCACATGTTCAGTTCATTCTGCTTAGATAATGGGTGTGGTGATCATAAAGAACATTGACTCTGACCCAGCAGAAGGAAGATACATCATCCAAACTGTATTTACCTGCATGTACATTTGCATTTCTGTACATCAAATATTCTGGCCTGGATGCTTCTGGACCAGTGTTCTGCATTTTTCCTATTGTGGATAGAAGTGGAAATAGACCCCCTAGTGTTATAAAGATGACCAAATTAACACACCATACTACTGTATTACACAAAATCTAGCCAGTGAAGCCAACCATGTGTTTTTGTGTTTCCCAAACTTGTAGAAGTGTTTTAAACTTAATGTTACATTAAAGTTCACAGTTGCTCCCTGATATGGGTGATAAATATTTGAATCTCTTTGCTAAAATGAGAAATGGCTTATGCAGGCCCACTCAAGCAAGGACTCTGTTTTCCAGAGCTCCAGCTCAGGATATAATCCAGACCCTCAGGAACCCACTTACTTGTTTACAAAACGGAAATTTTCAGTTTATGTGGGATTTGTCAGCATAACAATTTGCCAACAGAGATTGTTGATTCAGAGGTGTCAGCAGCATGATAGAATCCACAGCAGCTTGGTTTTAAATAAAGTTACACCTTTCTGAAATTGCTATCTGATGTCTTCATGGCTCAGAAATTCTAACTTTATATCCACCCCCTTCCAATTCTGTGTAATGTATTTTCTGAGCAGTGCCTCTTACAACCTTCTATACAATTACATTGTTATGAGAGTACTATGTACGTCATATAAAGTAGAAGAAAGTAAGGTAAGTTTCTTAAT